CACACACACACACACACACACACACACACTGTAGAGACTCGTTTGTCCCTTTAATAAATTTCTGAAGAGGTTGAGGCCATTTCTCTACCTAAAACCATGTCTTTTCTCTCTTTTTTTAAATATACACACTTCCTCAGGCTAAACAGTCATCTAATCTGAGATGTTAAAGTGAAATTTTAGGTTAAATACAAGTAACACTCTGTTAACAATCTATCATTTATCACAGAAAATGATTTTAACTCATATTTCAGCTTGTGAAAAGAAACAAAAATGTCAATTCAAACGTTTGCAGTTGAAGTTTATTAGGTAATCGCATGATTTGAGGTGAGGTGAAAGTCGGCATTGTCTCCTGTGATGATAAACTTCATTATTTACTAACCCTTATGTTTAAAAAAAAAAAAAAAAAGATTTTTCAAAGTTGTAGCCTAAATAAAATATAGATTACTGTAGTACATTTTACAAGAAATTGCTATTTCACAGAATTTTTTAAGTGTACTTCCATTTCATTGCAACTTTAAAGAAACAGTAAAAAGTAAATTCTGTCATTATTTATCATTTCAGTCAATATTTACCCTCATGTCACTGCAAATTCATATTATTATGGCTTTGTTATAACTTATTTCCTCCGTAAAACAGAAGCACACAAAAATATGATCTTTGTACACAAAAAAAGCTCTTGCCATACAACAACAGTTTTATGCAACATTTTGGGTGATTTTGGTGTGTTCCTCACACAAACATATGTGGTTTAACCATGGTTTCAGTAGACTATTTCAGTTAGTTATTTGGACTCCTTTTAAAGTAATTATGTTTCTTTTGTTTGCTTGTTTTTGTCCTTTTGGTATTTTAAGACGGCTGTGGGCACTAGTTACTTGAAAAGAGTTACACGAAATTACCAGTGCTGGGAAAAAGTAATAGGGCTGGGTAAAAAAATATCGATATCTCGTTATTAATCGATTCTCATTTTTACGGAACGATATCGATTCTTAAATCCCAATAATCAATTAGTGTAGCCTGTTTTCAGTTAATGGACGGAACATTGAAGGGTACTTCCCATCCAATAAATCGCAATAAACATTGTGCTTTGGAACTTTAAATATGAAAAAGTCTCAGATTTCAAATTCTTTCCATTGTATTGCAATATTTAAACAATAAATGCCGTTTTGGCGCTGTTTAATGTGGAGTGACAGATCTCTGTAGCACCTCAGATCAACAGACGAGGCAGCGCGAGGCGCACGTGAGCTGATCATCTCCTCCACATTAATACCAGCTTCAGCACAAAATAAACATGACTAAACATCCGAAGGTAAGTTAAAAGAAAGAGTACAACTTTACAATCCGTATTCTGTCTCATGTAATCTCTCAATCAGTGTTTCAGCTGCGCAAAGACGTCACTATAACGGCTTGTAAACAATGTCACGTAACGTCACATTTAACTCATAAAAAAAAAACATATTTGGTGACCATAAACTTATTAGTCAGATAGAAAAATAAACTGCAGAGAGGGGCATTTTGCTAAATATATGCACCATCTAACATATTCATTATAATTTTTTACTGTTCTTCAATGTTTAATTTATGTTTGAATAAATCCATCAAGTTTTTATGACAGCCACCATTATGTTTATATTTATAAAAAAATAAAAATAATGTTATTATGTAATTGTAACTTTATTATTTTAAAAAATTCATTAAGGTGTAATTTTAACAAATCAGTCAATTTTAACCTTCAATATTATAGTAATGTAGTAACAACTAACTCTTGTGTATATTTTACAGCATTAGTTGAGATTTTTTTTCCTTGAAAATTTGGCATGTACTGTACCTGATATATATCCAAAATAATCGATATTGAATCGAATCGAATCGGTAAAAGCCCTAAAAAGTAATGCATTACAATACTGCGTTACTACATAAAAAATAACTAATTGTGTTACTTAGTTTCTTTTTATGGAAAGTAATTACATTACATTACTTTTGCGCTACTTTTTGTCACACGCTGAGCTTGCTTGCTTATTTTTTTATAACAAAAAACAAAAAAGTGATATTTTTGGCAACTGTGAAGGCCGCTTCACACCAAAAGGGAAATTAATAAATTTGAGCCTCACTCCCAATTTCTCTCAAGACAGGGACAGGAGAGGTGTCAGTGAA